TGGGGAATAGCACTATTAGTGGCTGCCAGTCTTAATGGTTCTGTGCGACCTCCAGAATCGGAGGCATGTGCTTCTGTACACCATTTGCTGGGGAGAATGTGTGAGGAAAGTGCTATTGTATTAATGTCCTTCTTGTGGGCTTCCTAGAAGTTGGTCACTGTGTGAACAGTGAGATGGCCTTGATGTATTCTTGGTCTACTTTAATATAGTTCTTATATTCTTACACTTAGAGACTGCAGGTGGCGCAGTGGTTTAAACAGCTGTGCTGCTGGGCTGGTAGATCGAAAGGTCGCCAGTTCGAATCTGCACAACGGGGTGAGTTCCCATTGCTCCGTCCCAGCTCCTGCCAACCTTGCAGTTCGAAAGCATGCAAATGCAAGTAGATAAAAAGGTACCACTTTGGTGGGCAGGTAACAGCGTTCCATGCGCTTCAGTGTTTAGCCATGCCGGCCACATGGCCATGGAGACTGTCTGCGGACAAGCGCTGGCTCCCTCGGCTAGGAAATGGAGATGAGCACCGCCCCCTAGAGTCAGGCATGACTGGACTTAATGTCAAGGGAAAACCTTTACCTTTACCTTATATTCTTACACTTAGGTCTACACTTATGGATTGTGGCTCTCCATGTTGTTGTTGTTGTTGTTGTTGTTGTTGTTGTTGTTGTTGTTATTAGAACATTTCTATGCCGCCCCTTGCCAAAGCCTTCGGGGCGGCTTACAACACAATACAATACAAAAATAACAATATAAAATTAAAATTAATAATATAAAATAAATAAAAAAATATAAACGATATAAAAGAAGTTATAAAAGAAAAGTTACAAAAGAAAAGAAAAGAAGTCACCCTAGATAAGGGTCTTTCTCAGCTCTTCTTAGACATACCATTTATGGAATCTAGGATCTTTTGCATGCAAAATCTGCTGTGTATCATCGGATGTTTTCCTGCCTAAGTAAATATAGGATTGCACCCTTATGGGCAAGTCATGACTCCTAGTCCAACTTACCTTATGAAATAATGTTTAGATCTCACTCCCAGCACTGCTCTGGATTAGGGGTGTTTTGTTGAATGTTGAATGTATTTTGTATATATTTTCCGTATATTTGTATATTTTCTGAGTATCCCATTACTCTCATGGGAAAAGTTGATCCAAACACAGCTTTTGGAAGGGACTCACGCGTGGGGGCAGAGAAGTGGTCTAACCCCCCCACTCTAGGACTCTGCCTGCAAGGTTTCTTTCTTCCAGCTCCCAAGCAGCTCAACTCAAAGGAAGCAGGAAAAAGCTGCTGGCAGTCCGGTTAGAGAAAGTCCCCCCCATTCCTCGTTTTAATGCCTTGCCAATGTTGAACTGCTTTCCTGGGTTTCACTTCTGCTTTTTTTCAGAATTTGGAAAACCAGTTGCTTCTCCTGGTTGGTTGTTTCAGGCTGCCCTGTGCTTTGGGACCTGCTCCTTACAGGCCTGAACTCAACATCAACTTATTTCTGTGTTGCAATCCAGATCCTATGAGTGCACTTTCCTCTTTGGTGAGGCACCGATCCTGGATTTCACCAAGTTAAGGACTGTAAAACACTGTTGACTAAAAGTCACAATAATAACCATCGCTGCTCAATTTAGTTACGGTCACTTTTATTCAAGTGCATTTTCATCTTAAATTTATTACCTCATTTGTGCTCCATCTTTTTTCCTTTTCCAAGGAACACATGGCAGCTTGCATAACCCTTGTTTCCATTTTATATTCATAACAACTCAGAGAAGTAGGTTAGGCTGAAAATCAGTGACTGGCCCAAAGTCATCCAGTGAGATTCATGGTTTTATTTTATTTATTTGTTTGTTTAAAATTTTATTTATTTTTATACTGTCCCATCACAGATGTCTTGGGATGGTTTACAACAACATTAATAAAATAGTAAGAAAATAGAAGTAAGGGTAAGATCTGCACACCATCCAATGTTAAGTAAAAAACCTCCAGTTAAAACAAATTAGCAATTAAAATATTGGGAGAATAAAAAGGTTTTTGCCTGACGCCGAAAAGAAAGAAGCATTGGCGCAAGGTGAACCTCTCTGGGGAGCATGTTCCACAGTCAAGAAGGGACTTGAACCCGGGTCCCCTGAGTTCCATGCAATGATATAACCATTATTCCACCCTGGCTCTCTGAACTCGTGTTCCCAGTCAAATAGGAAGTATGCCTGCACAGATGGATCCCTTTCAGAACAGGGTGCATCACCACGGAAGCTGGAATGCATCACCAAAAAAAGGGGGGGAAATAAAGGGCGACACTTTGCATAACATTTGCATATGCAAATTTGTATCTATAGCTGCAAATTTAGAAATAGGAGCTGGGTGACATGGGTGTCTGCTGAGCAGGTGCCAGTGAAGAACCGCAAGGCCCTGTCCTGCTCTTGCTTTTTTGGGATGCTTTATCTTTGAATTGGACCGGGTCCAAATAGCCCTTCAGAGAAAAGACATTTTCAAATAGCGGGCTGTGGTCTATTCAAGTAGGGCATTTGGCCACTCTGTTTCAGGGCAACACTGGATTATGCCTTTCATTCCTGCATCCTATTTGTTCCCCAAATCCAGCAAATTTTGATTCCTCTTAGGTTTTCCCAAATTCAAGAACAGGAAAAGTGGGAAGAGTCCCGAAGGTTTGCTCATTAACAGACGCTTCTTGTATTCTCTGATATCACCTCAATGTTCACAAATCGTGCTCCTGCAGTTCGAACATGAGAATGTCCCCAGCAGGAACAAAGTAACCTGTCCCCATTTCTGTGGGGTTGGCGCTGCTGTCCCCACACATGGCTCCCTATTCCTTCCCAATGTTGCTTTTGGATCAACTTCCCCATGAGAGGAAGGGTGGGCCCCATATGTTATCCAAGAACACATCAGAGTAATCAAGGTGCAAGTCACAAATCTCCGTATCAGGGCCCGTGTGTACAATGTATCTACTCAGCAGCAAAATATAGGATTGCGACCTCAGCTGTCGAAAAAGCACTCCATTTGTTCTGTTAAGTGTAAGCAATGTTATGTATGCCTGGGAATAAGAGCATGATAAACTGGCGAGTAGTTTATGAACAGAAAGACAGCTTCACCTGCTTCCCCTCCCTTGTTCCATTACACCTTAACTCAGCCTCCTGGCTTGGGAAATGCAGCGGCTGACAATGTAAGACATGGGTTCAGCAGGGCCATTGCTGATGTGTGGCCATTCACCTCTTGGCTAGTTACTTTTTTGGTGGTGATGGGAAGGCGAGAGGAAGCTTTGGCTGCTTAAACAAGACCCACAAATTGTACAGTCGCAGCACTGATCAAAACCATCCAGTCCAATAGCTTGTTCAGTGCTTTCCTGGAGCACTTTGTGAAGAAACTCCACAAACTTGCCTGTGAATTGCCCTGAGCCATTTCTTACCTTACAGATTTACTCATAGCAAGAAGGCATGATGGAGTCAGAGGGTGGTAGCAGTGGTATAGGACAGCCTGGTGTCCTCTTTGGCAGAGGATGATCCTCTATTGGAAGGGCTGCTGGAAGACTGCCTTCTGCTTGAGGACATCCTCCATTGGAAGGACTAGGCTGTCCCAGCCCAGTTTTAAATGAAAAGCCACACCAACTGCTGCTCGTCTGCTTCAGTGGCGGATGAAGCAGTCAGGCATGCAGGTCACATGGTCACGGTCTTCCAGTCATAGCAACCCATTACTCAACCACCACCCAGACTCATCTGTACTTTCAGTTGTCATTACATGTGAACGGGGCAATGAGAGGTTCTCTATTTGCTTCAACAGATTCTGAATAGTGCCCATTCAGTGCACCCTCTGCCCTACCCCACATCCGTCATCCAGGCCCATTCAGTGGGAAGGGTGAGGCTTAAAATATCTCTCTGCAAAGAAAATGCTTCAAGATGTGAGCCTATGCATGCTCAGGCAAACTTTGTTCATGACAAAGTATAGAAATGAAATTAGTAATAATAAAAAGTAAAAGGCCTACAGTTATCGGCCATTCAACTGGGCCTTTTTCTCCCTAATCACACATTGTGCCCTTAATGGTTGGGCAAAAGTAGGAGTTGGGGGCTTTCCTGCTGACATTCATATTTCTATATAACAATAGTGGAATTCTATGACTTTCTCCTACTTTATGTAGAAATGTATAAAATCCAGCAATACTTTTTAAAATAAAAAGTCTCTCTCTCTCTCTCTCTCTCTCTCTCTCTCTCTCTCTCTCTCTCTCTCTCTCAAATAACCAACATTGCCAACTGCATGGAGTTGTTGAATTTCAGTTGCAGGATACGATATGTTATACTACTTATGACTCAATTGCAAGGTTTGTTATGTCAACAAATTAGACAGGTTTCAGATAGGCTGTATTAGGTCAGCACTATGCCATGAAATATTACATTGTGTAATTATGCCTGCAAGGTATTTTTCTGGCTTTGTACAAACACAGGCAGATAAGAACAAGTAAATGGCCTCAGGGCTTCTCTATATTTCTCTGTCCAGGTCAGATTATAGCCAATCATGGCTATAATCTTCTTGTGCCATTCTTTGGCCTGTGCCGTTTTTCTGCGAGTGCCATTTTACATGGCCTTGGTCAAGAACAAGGGGGAAGCCGTGGTCCATCAGATGGCGCTGGTTTCCGGCTTCCAGCAGCTGCAGCCAGCACAGTCGCAGCTCAACAACAACGCGTATGCCAATCTTGCCCACATCTGCAGGACTGCATTTTCCCCACCTCCATCCTCCATACACAACAGGAATATTACACAGCCGAGGCAGCAATATGAAATACATTTCTGGTATTAAGTCCCATCGAACTTCTGAGGTGACCCGTTGTAAGTATCTTGGAAATGAACTGATTTGCTTCTTAGAAACCATGCTTGGTATCTGTCTGCAAAGAGTTCACCATCTTATTAGTTTCCTCTTGGACTTCCTTTTCCTTTTAAAGAAGTTCTCCTTGAGGCTTGTTTTAAAATACATTTACTCTGTTTTTCAGGTGCTGTTTGGTGGCTGATATGTAAAGCAAAATGGCTAAAGTTGGCACCCATCGCTCCTGCCCTGCTCTCCACAGGCTGCCTGTGAAGGCTACGTATGACGGCCCTGATAGACTTGAAAATGGATTTATCAGGTAATGACCTCAAAACAACTGTGTAATACACGCCTGGCATCCCTCAGTACTGCAAAAAAATAAAGGAAAACAGGACTTAAAAACCTTGGCTTCATTGCCCTCATTTTCTCTGACAGCTGCTTGGAAAGGGCTGAATGTTGCTACAATAGTGTTAGGTTGAAATAGTTTCTCTTTCTGGCCATATACTATTTGTGCACTAGGCAGGTTCTGCTTTGCCTCTAGTGAAAACCTTATAGCCTCTGCTTAAGGCAGGGGTCGGCAACCTTTAACACGCAAAGAGCCATTTGGACCCGTTTCCCACACAAAAGAAAACACCCGGAGCCGCAAAACCCTTTTGACATCCAAAATGAAGATAACACTGCATATATCATTTTTTACCTTTATGCTATGTATATCTTCATTATGATTTAGCTGCAGCTCTTGTTCAGTCACTAAAAACTGTTATTTTTTATCTTACATTATAAACTAGTAGGACTCCTTTCATATATTTTGAATAGAGAACAGCTTCCTGCAGAGTCAAAGTCAGTGCTAAAGGGCTGCATGCATTAAACAGCAAACCCCATAAGTTCGTCAGCAGTGAAAGCAAATGAATCTACCCACGTACCATTAAACGTTCGGTTTTCTTCAGAAACTCTTCTTTTCTTCGATTTATCCATGGTTGGCCTATGGGGGAGTGGCGGGGGGAAGCTCAGTAAATCAGTGCCAAGTCTGCAGATCTGGAAAAAGCAGCTGCATTAGCTATGAAGTTGCTCCTGCAACAGTGAAATTTTAGGGGTGCCGTAACAGTAGCTTGTTAGGGTGACTAGTTGCAGGAATTGCATGTGTGCCTGAGGTGATAAAGGCTGGGAATTGCATGTATCCACACCAGAAAATATTGCAGTTTAAGATCATTTGTTGTGGCTACTTTTTATGCACCGGATACATAAAGGTCAAGGTCAAGGTTTCCCCATGACATTGTATCGGAGGGGATAGCAAGGTAGGGCCGACTTGTCTCTCCCTCCCCACCATGACAGTGGGGCCCCTTTTGCTTTTGGCTTGGCACAGCTGATCCCCCTTCCCCTCTTGGTCTGGACAGAGCTGGGATGGCGCTTCCAAAGATCCCAAGTGGCAGATTGGACAGGCTGTCCCTGGTTGGCCATGTTTTCCAAAAAGGCACTCTCAGTGCATGCATTTTTAAAGGAAATATAGTTGGACTTGTGCTAGTGGGGAGGGGCACAGTTCCACTGCTCTGAAATAGAAGGCCTTTCCTGAGCAACGTCCAGGGGTGCATCAGCTGTCAAAGTGTGGCAGGTGTCCGTCCGTTTGCTTTCTGCTGCTAGATGTCAAACGTTCAGCTGTCAAGGAGAAGCAAAGGCATGAAGGATCTTTGCTTGTAAAAAGAAGCTATCAGGATTTATATCCCTTCGCCGTGAGGTCCTCTTCCTCTTCCTTTTCTTGCTCTGACTGTCTTTCATACTGCATAGCTTGCAGTCTCCCTGGACAAGTCTAACTGCTTGGGACAATGCAAAACTGCCCTTTACCCCCATTTTGGGAAAAAACATAGACACAACCCTTCAAAACCCTTGAAGCATAGGCACAAACCCTTCAAAATAGGGTTTTGACAGGGCAATAAGCATCGGCTTTTGTCAGGGTCAATGTCCTGGTATGCCATGACAGCAGCTCCCTCTAGGCTTTGCCCAGGCAAGGCTTCCTTCTTTCCAACCCGCAAAAGTGCACACCTGTGCAAGTCTGAATAGAGAATAACAAAATGAACAAAAGCAAGCCTGCCAAAAATGCACAAAAGAAATAAGTGAATTTTTTAAAAGCAAGAGTTGTCCAGCCACTGACATTCTCTCCACCGTGTCACGCGGGCACTTCAGAAGGTTGCATAGGCAAGATTGCCAAGCGTAGCAAGCTTCCCCCCACCCCCAATCTTGCCATGAGCTCACTTGCTGCTTCATTTCACCCATACTAGGATAGGTTGCCCAGTTGCAGATGATCTGGCACCCCCCACGGGTAAAACAAACCCCACTACAACTCGTGGGTTTTCAGGGTGGCTTGTTTGAGCCACGTCACCCAAGGTCACCATGGATGAATGGTGGTTTGAGCATGAACAACTCGACAGCCCACTGTGACTACTTACTCATGATGGGTTGTTGCGTCAGTCAACCAGATCATTACGGAGCAGACAGGTTCATGCTCTATGCACCCTCCGCAACGTATCTGGAGTGTCCTCCAATGCTTTGGAGCAGATTTGGAGCATTTCAGGGAGCTTCAGTGGGAGGGAGAATGCATTCTGCCACCAGGTAATTTCCTCCAAGCAGAACAGTGATGTTCAATGCAACCCAATATGTTCTGAACTACAACTCCCACCAACCCTCACCAGCATGGCCAGTGATCAGGGATCATTGGAGGTCATCAGCTTGCTTAGCCCTGATATGTGCAAATGCCTGTTTACTTGTGTGCATCTTAGCTATTCAGTGAATTTCCTCCCTTTCTTCATGATACCAGAGTGTAGGTTAGCATCTCTTGAATTTCTCAGTTCACCTTTTCTGGTTCTGATTCTTAACTGGACATTTGAAGTCCCCTCTGCTTCTGTTCTCTGCTTTCACCATCTGGAATGTGTCTGATGGAAAAATAGAATAAATGCACAGATAGTGTATCTGTCAGGAAGTTTTGTCTGATGAAAGTCTCCTTGACATCATGGGACGCAGAACTCAGGCGGAAGAAGATTAATGTACTGCGTTTTTGGCAACGTCACTTCTGACAGTAATAGCACTGGTGATTGAGCAAAGAATGCATGTTCCTTCACAGTTGCCTAATTGGAAGGGCTCAAGGAATTGTAAAAGCACCTAAAAAGGGACTAAATGCATTGTTGTTCTGCTTTTGTTTTTTTGCATTGTTTTCCCTTTACAATTCAATCTGGAAGGACCTCCTCCCTGTGTGAAGAGGACACGTCTTCCGAATTGCAGAGAGTTATTTCCATGGAGACAGGCGGCTTGTCTGAATCTCGAACGAGCTCATTCACAGGCAGTGGAGCAATGGCTAGGTAAGCTTCATTTACAAGATGCCAAGGCAAAGGCCCTGTGAGAGGTTAGCAATACCTGACATTGGAGGCAAAGGGGCGGGAGGAAGAGGGTTACCAACATTATCGATGAAATGAATTCACTTTGTATCAAGTGATGAAAAAGGAAGTTACATGAAAGGAGGAGGTGACCTTGATCCATAGCATTTTTGTATCAGTCCAGTTTTGGGGTGTGCTTCATTGGGTCGTCCAAGAAAGATAGGAAAGCATATTTTTCTGAGATCGACAAGCGGTCATAAAAGTGCCAGAGAAATCTTAATGTGATTGGCAAAATGTTGTTCAGCTTTCTCTCCAAGCTAGAAGTCCATGTATTTTATATTGAACAAAGCTCAACTTCCACTTGAAAGGTTTTCTAAGAGAGGGAGAAACCTGATCTGGAGAAGTGTCCAAGTATGATGGCGGGGGCCTCATCACGGTGTAGCAAATGTGGCTTGCAAAGCCGTGCCGGGGCGTGTTCTTTTCAGAACATAGTGCACACTGTGGGCAAGACTTCAACATAGGCAGGGTGATGGACATGCAGATCTGTGAGTGCAGGCATGAAATAATGTATTTGATCCACTACCGAAGTAGTCTCGGGAGATTTCTTTCTGCGAGAATATCATTTGGACCAAAGCCATGCAACTTTGACAAAGAATTGCCATGATCCCATAAGAAGCTTAAGATCAGGTGAAAGTGAGAGTTTTGTTAATGTTGTTAAGGCATGAAGAAATCACTCAGCAAAATAGCTTTGTCTCTGCATTCGTGGTGAGGAGCAGAGTCCACAAAAGCATCTTCTTGGACTTAGCTGAGTTACAAACACACCAATAATGCAAGGCTGCTTTGCACTGTTAGCTCATGGTGAGCACGGGGGTACCGTCAACTGTTTGCTAGCCCTGCCTGAGCCCTGTCCCTTACTAGATGTAATAACTAGGTATGGCAAATGCACATATAGCCTTATGCGTAAAGATATGCTCTCAGTTTTTGAAATGTAAAGGCGGTGCATGCTGATGCATGCCCTCTCACCAAATCAAGTGGAAGGAACCAAACAAATCAAGCAGTTGGTTTACACTGAGAGCTGGTGTGGCAAACTGGTTAGAGTGTTGGACTGGGACTCCGGAGGTCTGGCTGCTAGCTCTCCCTTGGCTGGGAAGCTCAAGGGTTAATCCATGGATAACATGGAGAGGAGGATGGGAATTATGTCGGCCACTTTGGGTTCCTTATAGGGGAAAAGGTGGGTTATAGATATATGAAGAAATACACCAATAGCATCCCACCAATGTGCTCAGTCTGGGCATTGTTTGGCAAAATTAGGAATAGGCCTGTGGCAAGGCCATTGTAATGATATCTGTTGCAGTACTGAGCACTTTGCAAAACACTAGCATTCAAGAGTGCATGGTCTTCCTGATGTTGGATCATCACCCCTAGTCAGCACAGCCAATGGTAAGGATGATGGGAGCTGTAGTCCAACACCATTGGAAGGGTCATACATTCCCCCTTCTGCTAATAATATTATTAACTTTGTCCTGGTCAGTTTGCACTGCTTTCCTTTCCTTTCAGGTTATCATGGTTCATCTTATCGCTGAGATCTTGGGCTAGGAGACACTTGCATCATGAAGACCAAAGACCTGATTCTTTTCTTGAGCGTATCCGAGGGCCAGAGCTCAAAGATTTTTCAAGTAGAGACAGTAACGGCCAGTTAAACTATGAAGAGGCAGGTGAACTGAAAAAGTAAGAGGATACAGCTTCAGTGCGAGAACATTTGCTTTGAATGTTGCATTCCGAAAGGAAGAATAAAATGATTTCCAGTGGAAGTGGTGACATACCGATGGAGCAATTCTGTGCATGTACAGAAGGAAAAAAGCATTCCCCAGTCAGGACTGAACATGCACAGGATTGTACCTTCAGGGGCTCTCCTGTATGTCCACCTTTCCCAGCCCAGGGAACTCACCTGTCCCAGCCCTCCAGGTGTGTTGGACTGCGACTCCTCATCAACTGTCAATGTTTCTGAGCTGAGCATGATCACCCTGAGTCTCAAGGGCTTCATCATGTGTAGGGTTTCTGTCATGGGGAACAGAACCCTGTTTGCCCAGGATTCTTGTTGGAAACTCTACATATGATGAATAGGGTGGCTGTTTATGAAACACCAACAAGTAAGAAATGCATCATCAGGAAAAAAAAAGGAAAGGATATACAGATTTGCATATTTTGAATAGAAGTACAGTCCATCTCAGCATAGTGTGGAAATCCATGACCATGGGTTTAACCATTGTTCAGATTATGGGTTGTTCATCACTTGGTTCAGATGTCATTTAAACCGCCCAGGAATAGGGTATTCCTGGCTCACTTATCAAGGGGAAGTGGGCAGGAATGTGGGAATATGCATGCATGCTTGCTTGCTCCTGCTGCACTTCTAACAACAGTGAAGTATGAACCAAGTTCATATGCATCATCAGAAGCAAGGGATCAAAAATCACCAGGCAATGCTTTGTTTGACGGTCTCTCAGCGGATGACCTTCTGTTCTGAAGGCATCCTGTATATGAGGGAGCTTCCAGTCCAGATCAAGTCCAAAGATAAAGAACCATAAGCAAAGAGAGCTGGACCTTGAAGATTCCCATCCATGGTTCTGCTCACACCTGGAGAGCAGACTGAACAAAGTACGCAAGATATCTGGTCTTCTACACTGTCATGTGATGGGCCATCATTTCTATTTAAATGAAAATCAATATTTCTGGCTTTGCATCTATGTATAAAAATGAGCATATGTGATTCTTACACAAAGGATTGTACTCTTTTTTTAGGGAGGTATGTCTGTTTTTTAGGGAATTTATAAAAGGTCACTCTAGTGTGCATGTGTTCATTAGCACATGCATTCAGTCTCTGACCCTCAGGACAATAAAACATGCATGCTTTGGGGTTAAAAGGGTTGTACAACCCTGGATTCGGTGATCCCTCACCCCCGACATAGCAAACATTCAACTCTGGTTCTCAAAATCACCCTTCCTTTTCCCCAGAGTGAGTCTTGCAGTGTTACAGCCATGCCTGTGGCTGTTTGCAGCCACGCCAGTGTTTCTGCTTACCATTCAGCAGTCTTGGCAATGTTCCTGTGAGGATGACTGGATAGGCTTCCGGAACACTTAAAAACTGGAGCCAAACAGAAGTTATAAATAGCCGGATCCTCAAGTGTTGAGCATTAATACACCTGAGAACAAGCTAAAGTGCTTCAGCCGCCAGGCATGGTCCCAAACGTGTAGGGGCTGCACGTGCACAGGGGCAAACGGTGCCCTGGATAGTTATGCAAAGGAGCTTAGTGCCATGGTCAAAGCTGACCTCCATAATCCTTTCAACCTATGGGAAAGACTAACAATTCACCCAGTGATGGCACTTAGACTACATATGCATAGGGCTAAGAGCATTTTTAGAGTTGTCTTTCATATTCTCTTCTTCTAATATTACATTATGTTCCTATTCATTCGTTCACTTTAACTCACTATAGTCAATGGGCTCTGGCCAGATTTAATATCAACTACTCCAACAACACCAATGAAGAGTAAGTATGTCATGGACAATCTGTCCCTCCCTGTCCCTGCTAAGCTCCCCTTTGCAAAACACCCTGCTGCCCCCTCAATCTAGTTTTCCTCTCCGTTTCCTCTTAAGTGCTGTTTCAGTTATAAATTCTTTTACAGAAGTTCTTACTTGTAGGTAGCAAGGTATCCCTTTCCTCCTTAAGTGGTTGTTAGTGATGCTAACTTGAAATATCTCTGCTCCCATATAAACATTCCCTCTCCCCATTTTTCTGTACACTTTCATTTAGAATTTCTTATTTTCAGTCCTGGTCCTCCTTGGTTAAACTGGCTGATTTTGTAGAATTTCACATTGTGCATGTTTTCATTGATGAGTATAATGCATACATACTTTGAAGTCTCTGTCTCACACACACATACACAAACATGTCTTAATAGAGTGCAAAATGTATTTCCTGAAGTCACATGTTTCAGAATGTGTTGAAAGCTACCTTTCTAAACAGTACTGCTTTACTTCCACAATAACACTCCATCCTGGACAGAACTAGATATAACCTATTCAGAAATGTTCCCAGTGTCTCTTCCAGTAGCTCAGGGGAAAGGATCAGTCCACTACTTTGAGCTTTCAGGAGTAATCAAACATGGCCAAGTGTGAATCATACAGTAGCGAGAGTTCTATTGTTAAGACAGTGGTAAAGGACCTTTGTTCAAATGTCCTCAGTACCTTAAAAGGCGGGCAAGGCTCTGGCAAAGCTTTCACAAGGATGACCATCTGTTTGCTAAATTTACTGCACAGCCACCTAGTTTTTCTTGCAAAAGGACTGGCGTAGTGGAGCCAGGGCCTGGAGGGGAAACATGCTGACACTTTTTTATGACCATGGATGCTGATGTTACCCACAACCCCCTTGGGATTCTGTTCTCCCTGCCCTTAGCTGCAGTCCTCACAGTAGTTGAGGGAAATGAATTTTTCCAATAAGAATATAGTACTTGTTGCAATGCAAAGTCTTTTGGGATGGCTTGAGCTCAAAAGGGTAATTAAGAGCCTTCACTTCAGGTTGGTCTGCTACTTCTGGCATTGAAATGGCCAGAACTGGTTTAATTTAAGAAAACTCAGTTTTGCTTAGGGAAGGTCAGTTTTAAGAAGATAATTTGGATTGACAGATTTGCCTGTATTTTTGGACCCACCTTGGGGGAGTGGCTAAATCTGCACTAATTTACTATGACACAATTGTGCAAATGTATATTTCAAAAGGCCAAAGTCTGCCTTTCTTAGTGAAGATCAGTTTCAGAGAGAGAATTCAGACTGGGGAAGCAGCAGGGAGGTGGGGGGAAAGGGAGGGCTGTTTAACCTTTTCCCCACCTGCCACATCATCATTCTAGGTTGTCTTGAGATAAATCTCCCAATTCTGCTTCCAACACTTATAAGGGTACCAATTGCACGTTTGCCTCTTTATAAGTATGGAAGTGTTACAGTTCTGGGGTCCAGTGCTTGAGCTTGCTAGATTTTGTTTACTAGGATTGCCAGAGTGGGCCAAAGCAACATAACATAGGCCAGGATTTAGTAAACTGGCCTCATCAATGAGCAAAAATGTGACATTTCATCAAGGAAATCATGGGTAGCATTAAAAAGGTGCTAGCGAATTTGTAGTGAATGAGTAACGCTTTTGCAAAATCAGCCAACTACCATGATGGTGCTGCCGCACAGCTGCTATTTCCTGTGTATTTCCTTTTGTGCGTTAGGCGTGAGAGTGGTCCTTCCTGTGAACGTAGGATGGCTCCCTGTGTGTTAGAGCCATTGTTGATAAGTCGAGAAGGATGCTAAATGTATTACACTGTGTTATGCAGAAAAAAGGAAGAAAAGAAAGAGGTTAAGGAGGAGAAAAAGGAGGAGGAAAAGAAAGAGGAGAAAAAGGAGGAGAAAAAGGAGGAAAAGAAAGAGGAGAAAAAAGATGACAAGAAAGATGATAAAAAGAAGGAAGAAGAGTAAGTATGAATTAGAATGATTGCATCTTTGCAACACACTTCCTGGACTATCGGACACAATGGGGGTGATCTGCATCTAAGCCTGAGCAAAGGGGACTACCACTCTCCTTGCAGTTCCTGGAAAATGCTCCACAGAGTCAGATGGCCCTGCTGGATGGCATAATTGGTGGTGGCTCCCCAAAGATTGGATGGAGGGACATCCCACAAATAAATCCTTTCCTCCTCTTGCAGAAGGCAGATCCTGGATTCCACCCACCAAATAGAATTGCAATGTGTGTGTATTTCCAGATGAGGCTTTTATTCTTCAATCTCCTGCCCTCATTCAGAGAATTTAACAGGAGACCTAGATGTGTGTGTGTGTGTGTGTGGGGGGGGGGGGTCCTTCCATTTGTAATGCCCCTTGCATTTTCCACCTTTCTTATTGCAAAGCAAATCTATTTAGCAGGAAAAGGTGAAATAGCTGCACAATATCATTTGATTGGCAGCTGTAGGAGTCATTGGTCTGGAAGTACCCCAAATCATCTAGCTCTTGAATGGCTGTCATCTCACAAGCTATGCTTCATTTTCCTTCTAGGATACGATGACTGTGCAACTGAGCAGTAGCAGCTGCTCAAGAAATCTGATACTAAACAGGGAAATTCAGAGTTTCCTCTCCCACTCGCACAATAGTTTTACAAACATGGGATCACTGTGGTGGTTACATGCATGTCTCAGCCCCCATTTAGCGCAGAGGTGCCGCATGTGCTGCTTTTGGTGGGCTGAATTATTTCACGGTTCTCCTGTCACTTGTGAACAGAACCTGTGACATCCAGAATGCCCCAGCCAGCATGGAGGGAACAAAGTTGGGGAAGAACGGGGAACAGGCTGCTGAAAACCCCACAGATGAGGTTGATCATGTAAGCCTCCATTTCCTTGTGTGAAAGATTCCTGTAGCTGACTCTCTCCATGTGCCACAGGCCTTTCAAAATTGCAGCAGTGCCCTGGGATGACTGCATGGAGACATGGTGTCCAGAGAGCAGCTGTAACATGTAAAGAACATGGATCAGGCATGCTTAACCCTGAGATAATCTTCTCTGATTGCTCCCCTGAGATGGTTTAAGAAGCCACACAACGTTACTGCTTACCTTATTTATTTATTTATTTTTTTATTAAAACATTTTTATGCCGCCCCATTTGCCGAAGCCTCGGGGCGGCTTACAACAAAAAGATTAAAATAACATTTTAAAATATATACAATAAAATACAAATATATAATATAAAACATACACTATAAAACAAGCCGCCCTGGCCAAATAAAATTCAATAATATTAACATTTAAAATACTGCTTAAATAAAAAGGTCTTCGCCTGGCGCCGAAAAACAAATAACGACGGCGCCTTAACTTCCTTGTATCAGCTTTTCTTTCTGATTTGTGAGCACAGTGGTCTGTTAGGGCAGCAAAGGTTACTACTACTAGTAGCGTACTATGGGAAGTAAGATCTGGGTCATCCCACCTTTTAGATTTCTTGTGCTGACCTAAGTGGCGATGGTGACCAAAGGATTTAACATAACATACCACTGATAAACAGTGGTTTGCGAGCCGACTTTGAATGTTAAGGATAACAGCTGAAGCTACTTTTACTACAAGTGTGAACAGATGAAACTCCTGACACCGACCACAAGCAGAACTACTGCCATATGCCATGCATGCCTTACGTATGCATAGGACTGAAGCCATACAGTCCATACCATGTTTACTCAGAGGCTCCACTTGGCTGAATGCTCTTGTTCTTAGTCGAATGAATGGTAGCCATAGCCAAAGCTTGTCCCAGTGATGAAGGTTTGTTTCCAACTGATTCCATCAAAAGAAGGGAACAAAAGACACAGAATGCTCTAAAGATAATGGGATCGTTGGTACCAAGAAGTGTGTTGCAAAGATAACATCCCAAGTGTTTGTAGTACACTAGCAGTGCTAAAAGCAAAGACAGAGTAAATAATAGTGGTAGTAGTGTGCTGGTAGTAAACTTGTGGTAATAGTAGTACTACAATAGTAGTTAGTGTAGTAAACTACTTTTCTGGTAAACTTGATGATGAACATTCTGTCTGGTTTCTGCCCTACCCTGTGTTTACTAACAAGAATGTGAACAGGATCTTGTGATACCCTCACAAAAAGCACAAGAGAAAATAGAGACACTCCATTGTCCACGAGGAACTCTACTTGCTGTAGCTACTTTCTTCTGCTGTTTTATGGCTGATATTTAATGCTACAGCTATTCTCTTCTGCTATTTTAAGACTGTAATATCTAGTGCTGGCACTGGTCTATGTAGCTCTTATTGAGGAAAGCTGGATGTGAACAGATACTTCATGAGGAAAGGGTTTCACATCTGTGTGGCCAACATGGATAGGAATCTATTTGATTCCTTGCTCAGTTCAAGGCTCAAGGTACTGTGGAGCACTACAGATTTCAATACACAGTTAAAGTACCTCAGTGGTTCCAACGACAATAAGGTAAACTTGCCAGCCTCAATTTAAGAATGTAGTTAACCTTCTCCAACATGCTACCTTCCAGATGGGTTGAACTATGTTTCCCATACTTCCAAGCCAGCATGGCTATTGCCCATGTTCACTGGGAATTAGTTGCAGACTAACACACCGGAAGGGCACCATGTTAAAGAAAGCTGATAGAAATACTGTATTCGGTTATATTTGATGGGTCAGTACAAAGTCAATTGTCTTTTCAAGCTGCTCTCGGAGCAGTGATCCCTCTTAAAGATGGATCAATGTGTCATGAATGACTTTCTTCCCCTCCTTCCTAGAAGATCAGGTCAAAAAAGTCTTTCACATGAAGGTAACCAGCTAGCCTGGCTTCATGATAAAGAAGCAGCATATTGCAGCAGTCTTTAAGAAAGGGAAGAAGCAAAGTTAGAATACCGGCCATTAGGGAAATAGGAATGAATGATATGATATCATCAGCTGAGAATTCCACCCCCCCCCCCATTTCTGCAGCACAATCTGAGTGAACAATTTTTGAAGGCTGTACCATAAGAAGAGTGGCCCAATACCTGAATGAAGGTCCTTCCTGTGTACCTACACATGTTTCTACTTTTCAGGAAGAAGAAAGAGTACTTCGTGATGGATCCTTCAAGCAATTTATACTACAGGTGGCTGACCATTATTGCAACACCAGTATTCTATAACTGGTGTTTGATAGTATGTAGGTAAGGATGGGTGATTCATTAATTGCTGCTTTCGATTTCAGTCTTTTAGCTCTTCACCTTCGTCATCTGATTTGGGGGCACCAGGTTGGCTAAGGTTAGAGTATGATGGAATCATCCAGTGATTCCATTCAAAGCAGGTTCATATGCATCACTTATATAAACTATTTTAAAGGGAAAATGATTTTGAGATGTTTTCCTTTTCTTCCCAAATGGCAACCATTTCAATCTATGTCATTGTCTAAAAAGATACAATACAAATAATAATTAAAACACATTAAAAGATAACAGAACAGTAGTGGGGTAAAGAAGAAATTATATCAAGATATTCCCTGATGAATATACAGTAGAGGTGACAAATAGATTTAAGGAATTAGATCTGATAGACAGAGTGCCTGAAGAACTATGGACGGAGGTTCGCAACATTGTACAAGAGGCAGCAACTAAAACCATCCCAAAGAAAAAGGAATGCAAGAAAGCAAAGTGGCTGTCTGAGGAAGCTTTACAAATAGCTGAGGAAAGAAGGGAAGCAAAAGGCAAGGGAGAAAGAGAAAGATACAAACAATTGAATGCAGAATTCCAGAGAATAGCTAGAAGAGATAAGAATGCCTTCTTAAATGAACAGTGCAAAGAAATAGAAGAAAACAATAGAATAGGGAGGACCAGAGATCTCTTCAGGAAAATTGGAGATATGAAGGGAACATTTTGTGCAAAGATGGGCATGATAAAGGACCAAAATGGCAGGGACCTAACAGAGGCAGAAGAGATTAAGAAGAGATGGCAATATTACACAGAGGAACTATGCAAGAAAGAGCTTAACATCCCTGATAACCATGATGGGGTGGTCACAGACCTTGAGCCAGACATCCCGGAATGTGAAGTTAAATGGGTCCTAGGAAGTCTGAGCAACAACAAAGCTAGTGGAGGTGACAGTATTCCAGCTGAGCTATTCAAAATCTTAAAAGACGATGCAGTAAAAGTGCTACACTCAATATGCCAGCAAATTTGGAAAACTCAACAGTGGCCACAGGATTGGAAAAGGTCAGTTTATATTCCCATCCCAAAGAAGGGCAATGCCAAAGAATGTTCAAACTACAGCACCATTGCAGTCATTTCACATGCTAGCAAAGTTATGCTCCTAATCCTACAAGCTAGGCTCCAGCAGTATGTGGACCAAGAACTACCTGAAGTACAGGCAGGATTTCAAAGAGGGAGAGGAACTAGAGATCAAATTGCCAACATATGCTGGATCATGGAGAAAGCTAGGGAGTTCCAAAAAACCATCTACTTCTGCTTCATTGACTATGCTAAATCCTTTGATTGTGTGGATCACAACCAATTGTGGCAAGTTCTTAAAGAGATGGGAGTACCTGACCATCTTATTTGTCTCTTGAGAAACCTATATGTGGGTCAAGAAGCAACTGTGAGAACTGGGCACAGAACCACTGATTGGTTCAAAATTGAGAAAGGAGTTTGGCAAGGCTGTATACTGTCGCCCTGCCTATTTAACTTATATACAGAGCACATCGTGAGAAAGGCGGGGCTAGATGAATCGCCAATTGGAATTAAGATTGCTGGGAGAAATATCAATAACCTCAGATATGCAGATGATACCACTCTCATGGCAGAAAGTGAAGAGGAACTAAAGAGCCTCTTGATGCGGGTGAAGTAGGAGAGTGCAAAAGTTGGCTTGAAACTCAACATTAAGAAAATTAAGATCATGACAATCTGGTCCTCTCACTTTCTGGCAAATAGATGGGGAAGAAATGGAGGTAGTGACAGATTTTATTTTCCTGGGCTCCAAGGTCACCGCAGACGGGGACTGCAGCAAAGAAATTAAAAGACGCTTGCTCCTTTAGAGACATCACCCTGCCAACAAAAGTGCATATACTCAAAGCTATGGTTTTCCCAGTTGCAATGTATGGCTGTGAAAGTTGGACCATAAGGAAGGCTGAACTACAAAGAATTGCAGCCTTTGAATTGTGGTGCTGGCGGAGACTCCTGCGAGTCCCTTGGACAGCAAGGTGATCAAACCGGTCAGTCCTAGAGGAGATCAACCCTGACTGCTCTTTAGAAGGCCAGATCCTGAAGATGAAACTCAAATACTTTGGCCACCTAATGAGAAGGAAGGACTCCCTGGAGAAGAGCCTAATGCTGGGAACAATTGACGGCAAAAGAAGAATGGGACGGCAGAGGATGAGGTGGCTAGATGGAGTCTCTGAAGCAGTTGGTGTGAGCTTGAGTGGACTCCGGGGGATGGTGGAGGACAGGAAGGCCTGGAGGAATGTTGTCCATGGGGTCGCGATGGTCGGACACAACTTCGCAACTAACAACAACATTTGAAAAATTTATCCACCTAGACCAACATTCCTTAGCCTGGTGCCCTTCAAATGTGTTGGACTATGACTTCCAAGATTAGCATCCCAATACTTTAACAGTGGCCAGGACAAAAAAATCACCCCAATAACAAAAGTCAAAAGATTTCTTGGGAAATTTGTGTTTGTTTGCTTCAGGCAAATATAAATTCTGTATGGGCATTCTAATTTGCCACCCTGGATTATTTTTGTTGGAAATGTTTAAAGCAGAGCATGTTACATTGACTTGGACAAACAATATCCCAAAGCCAAAAATTCCACTGATTTTGGAGAAATGTATTTGCCCAGGGCATTTTTCCTGTACAGAAACCAGACTGCAAATGGTCTGAGATTTGAAGCACCATTTACTTCTATACAGAAGAAGTTCTCTGGAAACAGGCTGGGCAACCTACAAACATGCAGACAGTTTGGTCTGTGACTCCCATGAATGCTCACTGTTGGCTCTGCTGGCTAGCACTGATGGGGATTGTTGGGTCACATCTCTCCTAGAAGAACTGTGTTGAATTCTGGTGTTGAAAGTTGCACCTGGAATAACAAGGACCCCATCTTGGATGAGGATATTGAATTGGAGATGCCATGTCTTGAACCTGCCTAGGACCATCTTTAAGTAAACTATGTGATCCAGCATTGCACTACAGCACTTTCCTCTTCAGATGCTCAACTGCAAAACTGAGTTCACTCTGAAATATAGATGGCCACATACATAAACACAGAAGAAATTCACACGGGTTTGCAGATGCTCTTTTTCCTGTGTAGCTTGCTTCTAATATTCATTCATTTTATTTCATTACTATACCACCCACCACTGCTCTTTGGGCAGTTCACAAAAGAAATTTTAATGCCATGAAATACAACAATATAACATAAACATTGTAACAGGATTTAGAGCAAAGAACAACCAAAAGAACAAAACCAACCAACCAACCAACCAAACAAAACCAAAGAACAAGTCAGCAGCAGAACAAAGTTCTTAAAACATATGAACACTTTAAAAAAACCCTGTAGGACTAGAAGGTATGGGAGAATAAATATGTTTTTACCTGATGCCCTATTATTATTATTATTAATGTATACACTTGAGTCTGTTGGATTGGATACAGGTGTAGTCTTACTTAGAATTACTGATCTCACTGAGACCTAATTTTGTCGTGACTAAATTAATTCCTAATGATTTCAGTGAGTCTGCTCTAAGCACAACTAAATCTGGATCCAACTTACCATTTTCAAAATAAGTTGCTTTGCATATCATACCTTCTCAAATTACAACCAGCCCATAGTCCCCTTCTTGGTCATTCTCTGCATGTACGTTTCATGGGCAAGTCTTCTGAGGCATTGGCTTGGATTAGCCCTATAATTCTATGCACATCCCAAATCAGTTTGAGCGAGACAGTGATCTTTCTGAAGCATGGATGGCATTCTTTTTTCCTCTCCCTCCGCCTTGCAGCTGTCTCCAAGCTTGCAGTGGCCTGTAGGCGCCATCTGGCGGGTTTTGAAGAGCTACAGCCTTCAGGTTATGAATGGCCTTTTCAATGTGCGGTATTCTTATTCTTATACTATTCCCCTCTCCAGCATTAATCACTTAATGCAGCTTAGCTGCTAAACTTGTATCTGTTCTTTGTGTCTACCTGTTCAGTCCCAGGAAGGGAAGGACAGGGATCATGCCAACTTTGTAATATAAATGCTGTGGGCAAAATACAGGTAATGTTAAACATTTGTAACCCCTGTTAGTTTCAATAGAAAAATCAGCATGTACTTAACTCCCCTCTTGAAATCTGCCAAGGGTAGTCTTGGTCCAATTTGTTTGTCCTGATCAAATCTTCTATTCCTTTATGCTTGCGTAGGGCCTGTTTTGATGAGCTTCAAATGGAACATCTAACACTCTGGCTGATCTTGGACTATTCCTCTGATATTGTGTATGTCATGGACACATTCGTCAGATTCAGGACAGGTGAGCAATATAAACCATGGAATTATGCAATGATGAGTTAATTTCATAAGAAAGCTGGCTGCACTGGATTTAAAGAGTAGCATCATAGTGGTGGATGCTTTTGTTGAGACCCTGTAGTACACTGTCCAGGGATACACTTAGCAGGGCTATAGGTGTGGTCTAGAAATTAAATAAATAGATGCAGCTTTCCCCAGCATGCTGCCACCACACGTTGCAGACTCCAACTCGTACCAGCTCCAACTGGCATGGTGAATGGAAAGAAATGATGAAACACCCAAAACATCAAAAGGGCACCAAGATGCCTCGGTACAATCATCCATGACGACTTCCTTCCTTCCTTCCTTCCTTCCTTCCTTCCTTCCTTCCTTCCTTCCTTCCATCCATCCATCCAAAATACTTCTATGCTGCAGGAACCCTCCCAAGCTGGTTTATAGCAATACATTACAAAATAGCAAAAACTCCAGCAATAACACATCTGGTCTAGACATCTTGAAAACCTACAACACAGTTGCAGCTATGAAACAGTTCAGCTGAATAAAATAAAATTGGGGGGTGGATACCCACACAATGGCCAGGTTAGGATGACAAACTGTGGCTTGTTGTGGGTTACTTAAGGCATGGCCAGCTGTGCTACCTGCAAGGGTCATGCTGCATATGGAAACCTGGCACTTGAGGTTGTCGGTAAAGCCAGTGCGTGTGGTTTATGGAAGGGCTGCTTAACCATTGCATAACGCACACTTGCTGAGTTCACATGACACAATAACCCTCAAGCAGGTATTTCATATTCAAAAAGGTAGCCAAACATCCTCTGCGTACACCAAAAGTTCACCATGGGTTAACAACCTGCAGTGGACTGCTGTTTTATGTGAACACTGTTATGTAAACAGTGGCACTTGTGACCACTGGTGATTATGTCAAAAAAATAGCCATGTGGCAACTCATAGATGTGATGTGCTTTCTACATATTTCTGATTAATTTTACTGTAGCTAATGGCCTGCTCTGAGCAAATACATTTATGAAAGCCCCAGCTCTTTTTTTTTTAAAGACAAGCCATTTTGGCAGGGGGTAGGTAAGAGTAGAGATGGTACAGGGGAGGGGGAGCTTCACATTCTCCCCACTTGCTGTTTCTTCGCTTAACTTCTCTGCCAGTGCTGCCTTTCCCTGGAAGCTTACAGGTCCGTGTTGATGCAGGCAGACTCACTTGGAACCCTGGTGGTGGGGCAGGATTTGAAGCAGATGGCAGAGAGGGAAAGGGTGACGTTCTTCCCAGGTGCTTCTCCACTTTCAGGGGCTCTTTCTCAAAGCAATATGGGATGTAACCAGGCACAATCATTTTTGGAAGAAACCTTTTGAAATTCAGGGGACTCAAGTTTCTCATTAAGTCTCATTGATTTCAGTGACTCTGCTCTACATAAGGTTACATGTGGATCCAACCCTGTTTCTTAAAAAGAAACAGCGCCCGGGAGTATCTGAGTGGTGCCCAAAAGTTCACAGTGTAGGACCAAGGAAAGCGAGGGGTGGGGGTGGGGGCCTTCCACAGCGGGAAAATGGCCAATGGAAACGGTTCACTGAAAGTGCTCGGAGAAGGGCCTCAGAAGATGGCCTCAGGCTGTCTGCAGGAGTACATGGAAGGAGCGCAACTTAACATGAAGAGCCACTGCACACACCTTTGCAAGTATATCTCACTAGCTTTCCAATAGAAACATTTCTGCTTACTAAATCTCTTGCCTTGTCTTTCTGTTTTGCTTTTTCAGGTTTCCTTGAACAAGGACTGCTAGTTCGAGATGAAAAGAAATTAAGACAAAATTATCAATCAACGACACAGTTCAAGCTGGATTTATTGTCTCTAGTTCCAACAGACTTGGGTTATATACAATTTGGATTGAACTATCCTGAGCTGCGGTTTAACCGGTTGCTGAGGCTGGCCAGGCTGTTTGAGTTCTTTGACCGCACAGAAACAAGAACGAACTATCCAAATATGTTTCGTATTGGAAACCTTGTTTTATACATTCTCATCATTATCCACTGGAATGCATGTATATATTTTGCCATTTCAAAGCAAATTGGATTTGGAACAGACACCTGGGTATATCCCAATGTGTCCCATCCAGAACATGGACGTCTGTCCAGAAAGTATATTTATAGTTTGTACTGGTCAACACTGACACTAACAACCATTGGAGAAACACCACCTCCAGTGAAAGATGGAGAGTATCTTTTTGTAGTCATTGACTTTCTAGTGGGTGTGCTTATTTTTGCTACCATTGTTGGTAATGTAGGCTCTATGATTTCTAACATGAATGCCTCCAGGGCAGAGTTCCAGGCCAAGGTTGATTCTATCAAACAGTACTTGCATTTCCGAAAAGTTACTAAAGACTTGGAAGCCAGGGTAATTAAATGGTTTGATTACCTATGGACAAACAAGAAAACAGTAGAAGAAAAAGAAGTCCTTAAGTATCTTCCTGACAAACTGAAGGCTGAAATTGCCATAAATGTCCATTTGGACACACTACGGAAAGTGCGCATCTTCCAAGATTGTGAAGCTGGTCTCCTTATTGAGCTGGTGTTAAAGCTGAGGCCCACAGTCTTCAGTCCTGGAGATTATATCTGCAAGAAAGGTGACATTGGAAGAGAAATGTATATTATCAAAGAAGGCAAGTTGGCTGTAGTGGCCGATGATGGTGTGACACAATTTGTGGTCCTTAGCGATGGCAGCTACTTTGGAGAAATCAGCATCTTAAACATCAAAGGCAGCAAATCTGGTAACAGGAGGACTGCCAACATCAGAAGTATTGGGTATTCTGATCTGTTTTGTTTGTCAAAAGATGACCTGATGGAAGCGCTCACAGAGTACCCTGAGGCCAAAAAGGCACTGGAGGAGAAAGGACGGCAAATTTTGATGAAAGACAATCTCATTGATGAGGAAGCAGCCAAAGCAGGTGCAGATCCCAAAGACTTGGAGGAGAAATTGGAGAAACTTGAATCTGCGCTAGACATTCTTCAGACCAGGTTTGCCCGACTACTAGCAGAATACACTGCAGCTCAAGCCAAAGTCAAGCAGAGACTAGTGAAAGTGGAGACCAAAGTGAAGAAATATGGAAGTGGTACTCTGTCAGATGCAGGGGATGAGGCTGAAAAACCAGGGGAAGAGAAAAAGAATTAGGTTTGCATCTGATTTTCAGTCAGAACAGAAAATGGCATCATAAAAGATAAATATACATGCAAATATGTGAACATGGTTGTTTTTATATGGACCAAAACCAAAAGCAATGAGTTTGTAGAGTTTTTCATTCTAAATAGGAAATCCTTACATTTTATGCTATTTCTTAGAAACAGTTCTTAACTTCTTTTGTTTTCTTTTGCTCATTTTGTATTGGTTACAGGTTTCTTATAAGCAATAATCAGACCACTTTGGTAGCAGCTTATGAAGGTCAGATTGCATTTCTTGTCATCAATTTTCGCCATATATTTGGTGCTGAGAGGATCTTGTGTAAATTAATAGCAAGTGGACTGATAAAACTGATACTTGCATATAATGATGCACATTTTCTCTACCCTGAAATAGCATACTCACAACAAATACAATTTCCCACTTTCAGAGTAATTAACTCTGCTTATTTTAAAGAAAATTGGTCACATTTATCTATACTTAGACACACCACAAATGTCAAAACTTTATCTTTCTGCTTTGCTACATTTTGGCCAGAAGAAAGGCTGATGGATAACAAGTTTTTTTGTCTCACACTGAGGTTTGCTTGGATGAACACACTTTCCAGATCAACCATGACTGAAGCTGGTGCTGCTGCTCGCAGCTGCTAGCTGTGCGCAGTGCCCGTTGGCCAGTGCCTGTGCTGTCGTGACCTCACGTCCTCTTTCTGACGTTTGATGAAGCATTTCTTTTTCAGATGAAGACACTGGCCATTTTATATATATAGCCAGAGATACATATATCTCTCAAGGTACAGAATTGTATGTTATTTATACAAAGTGATACTGCAAACATTTTAAAACATGCAGACAGCTGGTCTTTAACTACAAGGGAAGAGAACAAAATACAGTACTCATGCTGGCTGCAAACACATCTCTTGCTTGTAGTGTGTGAAGGGAAGAGGAACTGGGCTGAGAAAGAGGCACAGGAAAAGACTGGTACCCTTGTTTACTTGTGTCTACAGGTACTCTCTAGTTCACCACATGAGAGAACACTCTATTATGCAGAGTCGATTTTTGTGGTATTTCCTGCTTCCCCCACACACACGTCAGCTAGTGATATTAGAACTTCATAGTAGACTGCTACAATCTCATTTAGGTTCCCCACCTCATGATCCCTGTGCAGATCCCTGTGCATAATCATCTTGCACTGTTCTGTCCTGGGAGGTTGTCCATTTCAGAATAGCAATGGTCATCAAAGCAGGAATCTTGCAAAGGAAGAAAGAAAAAAAATCAGTCTCGTGGCATTGACCAATGCATGTCTGTATTGTGGGCCTCTGCCTGCCTGCCTGCCTGCCTGCCTGCCTGCCTGCCTGCCTGCCTTCCTTCCTTTATTTTTGCATTGTGTAAGTGGGCACTGGACTGCGTTGTGTAAGTGGGCACTTCCTCCATAGAGTTTTATGTCTTTGAACTTAAGAAATGGGTTTTAGTCTGCAGAGGATAAGTCCCTGTGAGACAGGACTCTGAATGATGCCTTCCATTCCTTGCCTCACATCCCCACCTGGTAGTAGAGCATGACCCAGCTTGCAGTTTTATGAGGGTATGGAGAATTTTACATTATGCAGTCTTCACTCTGTTAGGGCACAGTCCTAAGTATATTTAGACAGAAAAAAGTTCAACAAGCACCAGCTTTCCCCAGCTGGCCAACCAACCCAGCAATAGCATGTAAATCGCATTGGTTGCAATTTCCTCCTGTAACGAGGTGCGTAGTTGTGCCCTTTATCAGTGGAAGCTTCAAAGCGATGGCCAAACTCAACTGCAGCTTGCATGCACTGTGCTAGTTTCTCTCTGAAGTGACAAAGGCATAAAAGAGCCATCTCTGACAGGAAGGGATACAGCCCTCCTGCAAAGCAGAGGGAGTCAGAAGCAAGTCTGATCACAAACTTGTCATGACGTTCCAAGCATGCCTGAGGGCCACAAACCTGTGCGATCAGGAGAGATTAAAGCCCATCCATCATAGGACTGCTACCACGCCTTTTCTCGGCGGGTCACAACCTCTGCAGCCATCCTGATCCAAGTCTTGTTCTTGTCTGGGTTCAGCTGCAGTTAGTTTGCTGCCATCTCTGCCAGTGCCCAGGCGCCGCAAGGCTGGTGGTCATGTATGAGCCGAGTGAGAGGCACACGCAGGCATTTCATGCTGAGAGATTATCGGAATTTCTCTACTGGCCTTTTAGAGTCTTTTATTTTGTTGATTTACAGTATTTTTATACTGCTCCATAACTAGGCAAATTTTGGAGTGGTGAACAGGAAAGAGCAAAAAGAGATATAAGAATAAAAACAACAGATATAAGAATTAATCACAGGATGCCATTAAACCACATCATAAGCCTATTCAGATCTGCTTGCCCTTAATGGGACATAGTCATCTCACATTAACAAATAGCCTCTTCACTTATGGAAAGTTCAGGAATCAGAGGAAAAACCAAGAGATGTGAACAAATTATCAAACAGTGCATGCCTGCTGAAGTAGGGCAATAATGCGAGGGAACTGAGTGCACATGGACATTGTAGTCAATCCCTACCCAAGGGCTGGGCTGGGATAACCCTGATGGGTTCCTGCAGACCACTAACAAGTAGCCCATAATCTCCTTTATCTGGGACCTTCTACAAATGAAATATTCTCTTTGTTATGGTGTCTCTTTCTTCCTGCATCTTGGTATTGCTTGTCTGCCCAGCAAGGTGTCCATTGCTCCTAAAGTGAACATTAACTTTTGTTCTGACAAAATGCACTTTGTGTGCTTTTCCATCTTTCGTCCCTGTCAGACACTAATTTGTAGCATTCTTGCTGTGTGTTTAATGTGCAATGAAAGTCAGGGGTTACTATGATTTGTGATAGCCTCATTGTTCTTTATGGACATTGCTATAAGTTAAATCAGCCACGACAGACAAGTTCTTTTTATTGGCCTCACTTCCGCAGCTAGGGAAACGCTATTCCACTTTCTTGTTTTTTTATTAAGCGATCTGGTGTAGAGCAGCTGCAAAAGAGACTGCGTTATGAATCAGGAAGTCCCTGGCTTGAGTCTTGCCTCTGCCACAAACTCACGAATGGGTTCATGTGAGCCTCTTTCACTCTCAGACTCGGTCCCCATCTGCAACATGGAAGATAATAATATTTATGTACTTCACAGAATTGTTGTAAAAAAATTTCACTAGCTAATGCGTGAATGTGATATTGAACACTTGAAAGCACTAAAAAATGCTAATGATCCTTCTTTAGTATTATTTGTAACTTATGGGAAAATTTGTTTTAAGTTCAGCTATATTCTGTATTTTTTAAATATTATTCATCTGTATCTGATTGTCATTTCATGTTAGCTTGTATATATGTCTCTTCTGTACAGAGATTGCCAAGTCAAACTAAAGCGACATCATAGAAAATCTGTTATATTAATGAGTGTGGGTATTTGAAGATGGTGCGTGTTCAGAATGGCACACGGCATCATTTTGACGATGGTTTCAATAGGTGTAGGAAAGTAAAAGATGTCTTTGCTACTGAAATGAATGTGTCTTCACAGTGCTTAAAGATGGGAGCAAGTTGTTCACACAATTTTATATTTGGCATGGGATTCAGCATCCAGAGGAACTTTGCTTTCATTTCAAGATAAACAAGTTACAAAGATGGATTTGAACATATGTGAGGTGCATACATGGTGAGATTTCAGAAGCCCGGAGAATGGGAGCTGAGAAAGCTTTCTTCTGGCTTGTGCTTCAGTGTCTAGCCACTCTTCAAGCTTCCCCAGAGGAAGCAGACCAATAAGTTATGCAACCAGGCCGTGTTTGTATAATTTATCCAGTTTGTAGAACTCAATGTCTTTCGGTCGCACAGCCCTGTTTTTATATATACTAACTTCTGCAGGGCACATGAACATAAAAAAGTACAAAGCCCTTGCTAAGTCCAATGCAGAACAACCTTCTCCAGCTTCATGCCCTGCAGATTTGTTTGGCTATATGAACTGGGGTTGATGGGAGCTGTAGTTCAAACTTCTGGAAGCACCAGGTTTGGGAAGTTTTATATAATGTATGGCTACTTCACTATTGCAATCATATTAGTGAATTCTGCTCACATCATTGTCACCAAACGTCATCAACCCCTTTGTAAAAACAGCAGCAGCAGCTGTTTAAAACATGGTAACTGACCAGAGAAGAGATGCAGACTAAGTTAACAATTTAAGGAGCTACCACATCAACTCCACGGTGCTTTGCTTTTAGAAGAAGATAAACTTTTCTGACATATCTGTAATGATCTTGAATGACTTCCAGATTAAGGCTCAAAACGATGACCATACTGAAGGTATTTGAAATACTAGCTGTGTATGGGAGGATCCTATTTTGCCAATTGTGCAGGTTGTAAAAGAGTGACTAATTGCATCTTAGTACACATGGAGAGTTACCATGACAGCACCGGCTACTGCCAGCAACTTCCGCTAGAACATGGTGGAAAGCCTCTTTCCTGTTAATGTGTTGCAATCTCATTTTGAATTGTTCTGCTTAACAATTTGATATCTTTCATCCAGCTGTAGCTTAAAAATATCCTTGGACATCCCTATCCTCAGTTTCTGTACTTCAGAGTGACATTTCTTCAAAATCCCCTGGGATTTCTCTCTACAAATTGTACAGCGTAGGCAAATAAATCCTCTGTTCTGAACTGAGTAACTGTCATTTTTTTGTCTCTTCCAGTTCGACATATGAGCAAAACCAGTTTCTCTTTCAGAATGGATATTGGACAGCAGAAGGTGCAGACATGGGCAGGCCCAATGATGAAGAGGGAAGAGCGACCATCCTATGAGGAAAGAGAATGCTTGGAGTTTCTTTTTCTGTTTTTAAGAAAGGCAACCGAGTGACATGGTTAAAGAGGACCAGCACCAGGGTTTGAGGGGACACTGGGCTCCCCTTTCCAAAGGGCGGCCTTCTCACCACTGTCTCTGTTGTTCATTTGCTTGCTCTGTCCCCAGCCTG